CCCATTAAATCAAACATGAGTGTCGCACAATCGTGCTCATAGGATTATGAATCCCACAGAGGGCCCTAATCTAATCTAATTTCCATCCCTTTGCAGGTTTCTCATTTCATTGTATTATCTAACTAATTTTCCGTCTTATTAAAAAGAATTGATGTCTGTCCCTGGGCATGCAATCACGCCTGATACATTACAAGTAAAGTCCTTCGGCAGAAAAAAAATTTCCAGGTCGAGCATAGGTCAAACTTTTACGTTACATGTAATTTCAACATTTATTATTCTTTTTCTTTTATCTCCTTCTTATTTTTTTTTCCTTTTTTTTTTATTTTAAATCTTAGTCTCTAAAGGAAAATTGGCGTTTTGCTAGAATGATAATTATTATGTATTATTAAAACGCATGAGATCAATAATACTAATATCGATGTAGATAAGTAAGTTGATCACCATCATTTATATAAATAATATATCACCAGTACCTATACACATGTAATATACCAGCAAAACTCTTACAGAGTAAGTACAGGAAAATTAACTCTATAGTCATTTCTTTATATATATATATATATATATATATATATATATATATATATATATATATATATATATATATATATATATATATATATATATATATATATATATATATATATATATAGTTAATGATTTTCAAATTTAACAATTTGCAAATATTTATTAATTTTATTTTTCCAATTTGTTTGAAATCATAGATTTGTTCCAAAAAATAATTTACTCATAGGTAAAACAGTTTAAATAAACTTGATATTTAAAAAATCAAAGAATAAAAATATAATTTAATTTTTTCTCTCGATTTTCCCTTTCTGCTAAAAACCATCATTTTTATTAACTGACAATCCAAAAAAATCCACTCTCCATGCAATGCCATGTTTGGAGTCTGATTATCTAGTACATGTACGTGTAAATTAGTTAATTATGTCAGAATAGACAGGCCTTAAGAAAATACTTATTCTATACATACAGCTATTGGGTTTTTTGTGACAGTTATTTACTTGCATTTGTGGTGGGTTTTGAATAACCATTAAATTCTTAAATTTTACTGTTGAAAAATATCCCCTAAATGGAACATATAAAATAACATATTTAAAAAATCAGAATATAAAACATTTGAGGACATACGCAATGTAGTTTGAACTTTATTGTCTTTTTCCCTGGAGTTGAAGAGTTCCAATACTTAAAGGAATTGTGTGCTACATTTTTATGTCTATATATGCTTTTGTACACTTCATCTAAAACAAGTTTTGATAAACTAAACAGATAGAATATATGTTTACTAATTTTTGTATATTTTTCTTTGAATTATACAAGAATTTTCATTAATTGATATCTTTTCAAAACCCCTGGTAATGCATGCTGATTTTTTGTCGACGAACATCTGATGGCACTATAATCTTGAATTAAAAATATCTGGAAAAATTATCAGTAGGTAAGGTACGTTGCGTATGTCCTTAATTTGGAATTTTCCTATAAGATTTATTTTGTCGAGATATAGCATACGGGATTCAGAAAATAGGTGACTGTTTTGTTTATTTTCCAGGTTCCTCAGACATTGAAGATGAAGACTTGGACGTCGCGCTAGAACACCAAACATCTCTGTCTGATAAAGATTTCAGCATAGACGGTGATAACAATACAGATATAGACTCCAAAGAAAACATCCTTACTAGTGTTCCAAATAATAACAATATAAATAATAATAACAACCTCAACAAAAGTAGCTCTTTGAATTCCCTTCCCTCAAGTCCGGATCCTCTTAAAGACGATACAGCACTTTTAAAAATATCATCGGATTCTAATCATAGTACTCAAAGCTGTGATACCAACGGAAATTCCATTCCGACTAATAACACTCTGACCCCGGACGGAGACCGTTCCGGCGAAGAAATGAATGACAATGCCAATGGAGGTTCCAGTGCAGGGGCCAAAAGACGGGGTCCCAGAACAACCATCAAAGCCAAACAACTAGAAACCTTGAAGGCGGCATTTGCCGCAACTCCAAAACCAACTAGGCATATACGAGAACAATTAGCACAAGAAACAGGGCTTAACATGAGAGTAATACAGGTCAGTTGTTAATACTTTTTATTTAGTTTTCATCTTTTTTTAATGGAATACCTTCATTTATCCTCTTGAATGAAAAGTGTTGTGAAAAAGTTGCGCAAAACCTTTTTCTTTTAATTAAACTCCTTTTTTCTTTGGTTCTTCCTTTTGACTCAGTACACAAACAAACTATATGCACAAAATCCGAGTTCCGTAGATTAGATCACGGGTCTTCTGAAGACCGGGAGAGGGGTCGTATTTGATGGCACCTATAATCGGTCCTTTGTTCTTCTTGGTAGGTACTTTTCAACAGATTTTAATCAGTTAATCTCATTTATCCGATGAAAACAAATTCGGAAACCATCATTCATAACATTAAAATCTGTTTATTGTTCATCGAGAGAGAATTTAAACTTCAAGATGTGTTCATTTTAAAATCATGGTGTTATATTACAAGTTTTGCCAATTTTCTTTGCAACACAATAAAACCCCCACCGATTCCGTACCCGGATTCTTTGTTCATCTGTTTAGACGCCGTCGGCTATTTTGATTTCATTTGCATGGAAAACGCGTTCGCGGAACCATGTCGAGCATAGCTAGGGTCTGTTCTTAAGATTCTCAGTCGGAGAATATTCTGATATTGACCTGTCAAAAAATCCTTTCAACACGAGTCAACCACTTGTAAAATAAAAAAAAGGGGATATCTCGATCAAGTAGATGAGCGGATGTCTTTTCAGGCTTCTCAATGTTTACAGATCTCGGATAATAACACGAAAAAGAATATCCCGAATTCTGTTGGATTTAGAAAAAGAATATTTCAAAAATTTAACCAAATCTGGTTGACTTTGGTCCAATGTCACATTTTAACAGAAAACTCCAAGAGAAACGTCTTCATTTTCTTCCTTCTGAAACAACATAGGAAATGTCAAACATATTCCCGATTCGGCAAATACTACAGTTCGCTGAGCCAACAGTTCTGACCGATTTTCTTAATCGTATAATTGTGTCTGACAATTTCCAAAATTAGAGCAGCCTCCTTTGATATGTATCAGTGTTTCAAACTTGTGCTTAAGGTGTCAGCTTATTGATAAATTATTCAGTTTTCCCATCCATAAAAGCTGTCTCCATTTTATACGTGTTGTTATTGTTGTCATTCGAATGCACCGATTTGTATGGTTGACCATTCGTCCTCTACAGTTCTACTTTAAGAACGAATTATTATTACCACATTAGCACAAACTGATCCACAATAAATGTAGAGGTTTTAAGGCAATAAACAACTCTTACGGCATAACAGCATTTTAAAGCAATTCTTTTGAATTGTAATAGACTTACGTGTCAAGCAGCTATGTTTTAAGTACAATATTACGATCTATACTTCAATAAAATATAAAATAAAAAAAATAAATGAAATGAAGTAGTTAAATTATGTGGAACACTGTGTCGATCCTTTCTATGGTGTTCTCACTACAGAAAAATAAAAAAAATAAAAATGAAGTTTTGACACCTTTACACGGATGCCGTTCCAAATATGCAGGACCGAATCCGATCCCCTTGATGTTTGGAGGTGTTGGTGCTTTGTGCTCCCCCCACAAGTGATCATCAATCTTGTCAGAGCTCCGCTTCCTCGTCTTGGCGTTGACAATACGAGTCAAGATACCTACAGATCAAAACAAAAAGCAGAAATTCTAGCCCTGATACAAAATTCTCGAAAACACCGAAGCGTGTCGAGGGTTTTATCATTGCAAAATAACCGAATTTCATTTTAAGTTTTATAAAAATGTAAGTTGACAGATACAGAAATCTTGTAATCGTTATTACTTTACCACCCATCGTTAGCGGGAGCGACCACAAATGGCGCGATCAAGAGATAGCAAGAAGTGGCGACCATCCGTGAAAAGGACGATGTCATTAGCAATTCGATAATATCAAAATTTCTTCTCTGGCAAATACAAAACTCATATTTCTATTGTTGACTCTCATAAATTTATGTTGCTTTGATTAAGTTGCCTTACGCCCAGATTTGATGGGATGTGAATAGTGACTCGTTGTTATATTCATGGCAACAGGACAATGTTTCTTGTTGGGTTTTAAACCATTCGTATCGTAACTAAACTTGCACAGGCTAAATCACTTAAAATTACTTTTATTATAAATTAACAATACAGTATTCAGTTTTAATCAGTGGAATAGGATTTTTACGTGAAATTAATGAAATATTGTTACTTCCGGGAGGAACATGGCATGTTTATAAATCTATACAAAACTAATGGTCCAGGAATTTGTTTCCAAATGCGTTGAATGTTATTTTTTCTTATTTTAAATATAAGCTTAAATGTATTCAAGAGACAACTTTTTGTGTATGATGTTATATCCTTTTGAAAAGTATGAAGGACACGTCGAAAATACATGCATTTTGCATTTTCTAGTTTGTTTGGTTCGAACAATTGAACAGAGTTTTTTCTCCTGGATCTATAAAGTGTCGCTGTTGGATTTAGAGTTGCCAACTCGCCAGATCACATTGTATTATATGAAAAAGTATAAACCTTTTGTGATTTTTTTTTACCTGAGTTATTATTAAAAAGGATCGATGTATCGTCACCAGTTCGCACTCTTTACTCTGTGGATATAGACGGCTTATAGGACATCAGGCAAAAAAGCTTACGTTTTAACAACCACAGTCGCCGAGTAAAAGGATGTTTACCTTATATGTTTCTGTAAATGTCAGTAATGCACGTTTCCCCTCAAGTGGAAATTTGTGTTGGAAAAGCGGATTATGTTTTTTTTAAGTAAAAATTCATATTCTGTCTTTTTACAACGCAAGCTTTGTAACGTACCAGTCGCCACATCCTACAAACCACAAATCGCTGCCAACTACCCAGAATAGCTTGGAACACAAGAATTTTGTGTTCTGTATAATTTCAAAAACCATTTGTTTTCCTGTTTATCTCATCGATTACTAATTCTTTGTTGCATAGATTTTTTTTTACTCAGCTTTCTTGAGAACTGTCATATATCGGGTATTCAATGGGTATTTTGAATACTTTCTAAATGTTTTTTTTAACTAGAACACAAAAAGTACTTCGTCATTTGTAAAAAAGCGAAAGTGAATAAAAGATGAAAAGTATCTACTAATAATACTTGAGCTGTACTCTAAGGTTTCTGATCCAGAACAGTCGTTTCAGGTAGGACACGGGATGAAATAGAATTATTGTTTTATTTATTAGACCCAAGTCGATAATTAAGTACGGAAGAAAGTAAAACCCGAGTATAAAGATTAGCATATGTCGTACAGGACAACTCGTTAAGGCCATCCAGGCGTGTTTGACGTCTTTTTCAGGGATCACTCCCAAGGGGTTCCGCATTACTTCGTTCAGGTTATGCACAGAAAAGTAGCTATTTTCAAAGCGTCGTTTGGGACTTTTAAGAGCATGTCTGCTTAATAAGTATAAAGGAACCAAGAAACAAAGCGGTAATAAAGCAGAATTTGTGATGACATTTGTAAATAATGAAAAAGAAGAGAACCAAGTCCTATCTTGTTCATCATTCATTTTGGATTAAAGTGGATATCCAATGAATTAACAAAGGATTATCAATCAGACAGGCATTTGAATTTATAAAGAGAATACTAGCAATATTATTCCTAAGGAACATTCTTTCAAAATTTGAGGTTTTTGCAATTGCTTTCACTGCTTTAGATGTAGCAAGGATCTTCATTCTGACGCAAATAAACTTTACATAAGGCACCGCGGAAATATTTTCTTATTAGACAAGAAAACCGAATATTTAAACTAAATTAAACAAAGAATTGTTCAAGTCTCTTTCTACCGTTTGCCTTTTGAAAACAAAATAGGGTCCATGATTTTTGTAAATAGTTCTCAAAGGTTTAGCACCTGATTCGCATACAAAAGCGTTTTCCTTCCGTGAGGATAGAAGAAAAATAAAACAAAAAATCAAAGCATAGGTCGGCTTTCAGTTTTCTTAGTTTACATAAACACTTAACCATTACGATTTTATATGAAGCTTTAATCTTTTGTATGAGGTGTACCAAAAGCAAAGTTTATCTATGATTTCAAAACATTCTGCAGTAAATCCTTAAGTAAACAATAACATAAATCAAAGCCGATTAAGAGGACTATAGAAAAGTTTATAGCCCCATTCGCCAGTTCCCAAGTAAACTGTCCACAAATATTGGATAACATGAGAACTGTCCATTATTTATCACCAATCAAGTAGTTTCAGTTCTCTTTAACATGCCATTGATATGTTATTTTAGGTGTTGTGCGAGACATTTTGGAAATCTATTGTCCCCGATTTTCCCCATGGGTCGCTGTGTGTCTTACGTTGGATATTGTTTTAGATTTATTGCAGGGAACTGGACTTCTACCCAAGGCTTACTTTTTAAATTAAACAATGACTCTATTTATTTACCTTATATATTAAAAATTCTCTTACATGCTCATAATTTTTTAGTATACAAGACTTTTAATGTCTTTTAGCGACATTTACGATCAGTTAACGTGTTAAAGGCATAAATTTATGAGACAATTTCGGTACACGATTCTTATAATCGTAAATCTTAAGCAACAGATGTAAGCATAAATCTCTTTAGTTTCAAAATTTTGATATTTTTTCTTAGGTATGGTTCCAAAATAGAAGATCAAAAGAGAGACGAATGAAGCAACTCAGTGCCCTCGGTGCTAGACGTCACTTTTTCCGAAATCCCAGACGCATGCGCGCACTTCGAGCTGGAATGTCACCCAATGACTTAGACGATGGGGACATGATGGCGGGTCCAGGTTTTGGATATTTTTCTGGTAATTAATCAGTGGCAAACCTGATCTTAAGTAATTCATATTTTACTTTTTTATGACATGCATATTATAAAGAAAAGAAAAAAACAACTGTAAATGTATTATTCATGATTGGACAGTTCCAAAGTCCTTGCCCTTTACTGCCTAAATAAAAACTGAAGAGAAAAAGTATTTGACAGAAAACAGATATTCTTAGCTTACAACCCGAGTCTTTGATTCTGGGGAGGATTCTAGTTTTGGATTGCAAATGTCGGGGATTTATTTCAAGCGCATTTTGGATATTAAGAGTTTTCATTAATTTCCAAGCACCGTACATTTCTGAACGTTTTAACGATTTTACATCAAATCACGGAGGTTACTATTGGTTCCCCACAGAATACTGTAGTCCCCTGGATTACAGGGATTACATCTTCCATGAATTCTAATATTGGTAATTCCTCGCGGGAACGCGTAGCTTCAGTCCTAGGAGGGGGCTCAACATGGCCAGTTGTTCGCCGGTTTTTTAATGCCTTCTCTATATAACTACTCTGCCATTGAATCTCTGGGTATTCTACTGACAGCTTCTGAAAAACTCTCTTGTTTTCCGTAAAATAATGTCAAAACTTTCAAGGAAGTGTCATTTGCAGATATTTCGAAATGACCGAGAAAGTTAATCTCTGATTTTTGTAAATATCTTTTTATAGGTTTAACTTTCATTAATCGTTGTTGATGAATACGCATTATTATAAAAAACAGAACAATACAACTGAAAAAAATGATGGAATGATCAGATGATTAAAACATGTAACATTCATTACCACCTTAACTAAGATATTATAACTTTAAAACTCTCCAAGGTTTTTTTTTCTTCTGCTTGCAACCACTAACATTAACTTTCACCTTTTGTAAAGGCGCACATTACGAATCTAGTACAATTTTATTTTACATTTCATTGAGAAATTAGTCTTTTGCGTCTTTCATTTATTGAGTTTATATTGTTTGCTGTATGTATTTTCGCCACCCTTTTCACGCAGAAGGATCTTGAAACCATGAAACCATTAAAAACAAAATCTGCTGTAAAATTGATATAGTTTTAAACCTGCTTTAAATTCTGGAATATTTTAATCAAAAAATACCACCCACATTTCGCGGAGTGGATGGTCCGATAGTATCTAAAGCAAATGATTCGAGACTACTTGGAAAACGTGTACATCTGATAATGACAGAAAAATCAATTTTCAGCTTCTTAATAAGAAACACAGAAAGACAGACTAGCCTTCAGGCAATACAAAAGACCGCCTTTGTCCGCACACCCAGGGATACAGTACACATGCAACAAAGGAAAAAACGAGGTTATTGGATCTGTCTTTAAAAAAAAATATGTTTTTTTTCCTTTAAATTGCTGGACACGGTTCACATATTTCCTCAGTCACTCATCATTGCGTTTTGATGTACGATCTACAAATCTTTCGTAAACGACACATTTCAGGAATGGGAAAAAGAGAATCTGTTGGCCAGATTGGCTTGCTTACATGAATGTTGCCCCTGTATACAGAAAGAACCGACGATGATTAATCGCGACTGTTTCCTTTCTGTCTTGCCCAAACTTTCCAACGATTGTTAACATTTTTCAACACTCTTGCTCCAAAATTTGGTAGATATATTTACAAGAAAGATTTGTTAGTTGGTGGTGTACAAGGTCTGAACACGTTTGCGAAGTTCCGTGTGTATATCATTATTTTTAAATGTTCTGAACTGAAGTGAAGTCTCGCGGACCGGATATATGTGAATAATGTGGAAATAAGTGTGTTCGGATTAGAACGGAATTGAGAGGAAACATCTGTTTGTCACTTTTATCTCCATGAATACAGGGTGATTAGCACGTATTGAAATAAAACTTACGATAATCTTTTACCTCAAATTAAATAAGCGCTTCGCTTTACACACACACACAAAAAATAAAAAATACTAAAAAAAAAAAATGAATAAAATATCAAACATTAGAAGTTTTAATTATATCTAACATTCATGTACTATCATGTGACAACTATTAAAGAATATTTTCATTTGAAGAAAGTAGAAAAATGTTGTCTTTTTCAAAAACCAAAAAATGGCACATTTCGAAATGTGGATAATTTCATTAATTATTCAAACGTCAATATACAGAGAGTTAAAGGAAAGATGACTACCTGAAATAAACCATATCTCTACAGAATTCTGTAGTTTCTAAACATGAAACAAGGAGCAAAGTGATTTTGTAAATAAACATAAATTCCGAGGATGTTCCGAGACACTGTTTAATTTCCGCTGATATACATCACAAAACAGGCGGTGGTTGGGGTAACGTTTGAAGAATGAACGGGGAGGGTCAGAAACAGTTTAAAACAGTTGCTTGCTCACCACCCCGCTTTATTAATGACCGTTTAGAACATGGACCGTTTTTCCAGCTTCCTAGGTGTTATCAAAATATTTCACGCCGGTCATGGGAAGGGCAAAGTCGTTGACATGAAATTGGTCTTGAGCAGTCTGAGGTGGTGACAATTCCCTTGTTTTGCCGTCACCGGAGCGAGATACTGCATCTATTAGTGTTAAAAGATGAGCTGGCCTGACAACACTTCGTATCTTAATGAACTGCTCCCACTTTGATGTCTGTTGTAAGGCTCTTGTCGGAACAGTTTATATCGTGTCTTGGGCATCAATATTCACAAAACGCATCTAACATTTAACGTTTTATATACACAGCTGTTATCTGATTCGGTATGTCAAAATTATAAAGAATAAGCCTATTTTTACGGTTAACAATTGTTATCTTACAAGTTTATCTATTTGAAGAAAATATTTTTTTACAGAAAATGGACAAGATTTTTACCCTGGTTACCAAGGATATAATGACTTTTTTCCTGGCCAAGGGGATGGGGGTCCCCCACCAATGAATTTCCTCCCCCCTACATCTCAAGGAACACCTCCACTATCTATGGAACAGTCTCTTCATCACAACAGTAAGTGATACTATAGTTATTAAATCATTGATTATTGTAATTAATTATCACTTCAGTTTATTCTCTCAAAACCATGTAAATGGTTCATGAGGTACAAAAAACATATATAAATATAATACAAATTTATACAATGGGTCAAACAGGAAGTATAGCTAAAGGAAGAAAAGACCAAACAAACAATTTTAGTAATAAATATACACAGGTTTTTCTTTTTTTAATTCAACATCTTTTGAGCACATAATTTCACCAAACTTCATAATATTTGGCTTACAAAAAAAATTCTGGCTCAAGATTTTTTTTTTCAAAATATTAAAGTCATTTAAACATGGTTATTGTAATTAATCGTCAAATTACTAAACTTATTCAATTATTGATTATTGTAATTAATCCTCAAAATATTATGAAAATTTAAATTGATGGTTTCATTTTCATTTCCACTGTGAACAAAAAGTCAAATTAGCCAGTTACTATCAAATTAAAAACCTCAAGAAAGGAATATTCAAGTTTACTGAATACTTTATTCTAATCATATCGAAATGGATCATTAAAATTAATGATTTTTTAAAGAAACATTTCGTAATATCTATATGTACATGTATTTTGAATTAAATCCATATTTTTTTTTAAAACAGAAAAACAAACTTAACAAGAAAGCCCCCCCCCCAAAAAAAAGAATCGGAGCAAAACAAACAGCCAAAAAAACGAAGCAACAAAAAAAGTAATAATAATAGTAAAAAAAAATTAAAAGCAAGAAAAGGGAAGACAAAAAAGTAAACACATGAATTTCATCAAGTTTTACAAGTTGTAATAAAAATAATTGTTCAAGGAAACTTGATATCACTGATCACATAAATATCGTGAATATTGAACACGAAGCAATGTCGACTATAAATTTATGAACAGAAAAAATATCCATCTTAGTCCAACTTTGGCACTAAGGCTGTGAAACAGTGACTCACTTAGGACCCCCTCTCTGGTCTTCAATCATAAAGTTTAGACAATGCTTTGGAAATTTATCTTTGAAAGCCAACTTGGAAATTGGATTTAGCGCGTGGATATCGCAGTGTTCAGAAAATACTTTCCCATTCCCTACACATTCTTTAGCGTCACGCGACCCAGCAGTAAACCTGAAATTCTTTTGGGAGACGTTTCCAATTTTCTTCTAAAATTGGTATTTTTGTTTTATCTGTGTTTCAAATGAGGAAAAAGAAAGGGAGCTCTTGCGGCTCGATAATATAAAGCCGACCTATCTATGCAAAAGTTAATAGGAATAGATGATATTTAGATCGAGCCCTCCATCCATAGATTTACTTCTGCTTATAATAAACTCAGGTCAGAGAAGGACGGACGAACTGTAGTCTTTGAAATCTGCATCAGAAACTGTATTTTTTTGTTGTTCTTCAAACATCATAATGAAAGAAATTAACGAGATAATTTATTGTTTGATTTCCATAATTCTCCGGTAAAGTCACAGCTGTCCAGAAAAATAAAAGAAAACGATGTCAGGAAATCAATGAATAGGTTCGAACTTTGCTGTGCAGATGTGGCGAGGCTGGATAGAGGCGACACGTGCTAATGTTTTAATTGTTAGCGAAATGGGCCCCAAACAATTGACACAATACGAAATAGAAGAGTAAATGATTCTGAACAGTAACAGACTGCAGTCCTAGGTTATTGACAACGTTCTGGAATGTTACAAAGCGTCTATACACCTTGCCCGCGGCAAAGGCAAAAATGTAGATTATTAGCATGCAAACAGTACCTTTAAAAAGTCATAATAATTTCATGCTTAACGTGAGAAATATTTTAACACGTATCTATGTATTACATCTTAGATTGGGATCTCTTCTGTTTATGACGATTTTGTTTCTTTGCCAGATAACATGGGCCCTGAAGCACAATTCCTGCCAGGGGACATGATACATCCTTCGTCTTCCCCAGAACCAATTCCAATGCACGCGCACGATGGGCCTTTCAGACATGGCGGGCCTCCAAGTTCCCTTGCAGGAAATTTCTCGTCCCTTTCACATCCGGAAATGGCGGGAGAGGCGTGGTGACCTTTGAATCGTGCATAAACTCTCCTTGACGTGTTTCCATTCCACACACTCTTTTATAATCATAAACTATTGAATACTTTGTGTAGATGTATGCATGAGATGGAGTGAATTTATTTATGGAGTGAAAATGAATCATGGGTAGTTCTTACCCATCTCCTAATAAGTGTTTTGTTTGTGAATGTATTATAGTACGCTGCCATTGTAGTATTTAAGTTATAGATCTTTTTTTTAAGAACCAATGATTTCAGATTCTGTTTTTCCATCGTGGGTGGTTGGAAAAAATATAACGTTCTTTTTATGAAGTATACATATTCAGTCTACGGTGACAAGTACTAGAAAAAAAGCAACATATGTTCCTTTTGTTTTTGTTTTTATTGTCTGATAAATTTTATTTTGGAGTGAATGTATTTAATGATACTTCTCCATTTTCAGTCCCATTTTGTCTGTGTTGTAAGCTTGTTTGTATAAAACGAGATCTCAAAATAAAACACTAATTTGTCATGCCCATGAAAAATACGAAGATATATTAAATATTGAAATCATCGATTTATGATGATCAATAAATGTCTCAAATCTTGCATGTCTTGTTATTTTTTATTCATTTGACAGATGATAATTGTGTGTTAATTTATTTAAAGCGGGGGGAGGGGGATTTTAAAATGTAGCATTTCAACATAAGTCTTCGCTTTGCTTTTAAATATTAAGTATTTTTTAACTGTTCAGATTTAATGCCTACCTACTTAACCTAATTTGGTATTCTTTACAAGATGAGATTATAAATGAACTATTAAAAATTAAATTGTTCAATCCAAAACAACCTTTGTTGTAAATTGCTTGTTAATTTCATCATACATGTATTTGATACATATTTTATAATCCTGAATTGAAGAAAAATAAAGCTTTAAGGGTTGCATATAGATATTAAAAAAATACAATGAAATAAGTTATTTCTACAGAGTATTTGGTCTCTTAATGACTGTTTGTATCAAAGCTGCGCCTATCTGCACTTTATTTAACTGCTCCCTATGGCGCAAATCTGTACAGCTTCAGATCATGTTTCATAGGCTGTAGATAACTAAACACAAATATATCTGATGTCTACACAGGTGAAAAAGAAAGTTGTTATTTGAAAAAAAATCTTCAAGAAAAGGGTGCTGATCGATCACTTTCAGACGAGGAAGGGTATAATTAAAATTTAAATACACACACACAAATATATATATATATATATATATATATATATATATATATATATATATATATATATATATATATATATATATATATATATATATATATATATATATATCGCTTGTGCTAGTTTGTGATGTCCTGCATGAAAGTAAAAGTTGGATTAAAATTCATTAGAATTTTGCTCTTTATATAAAGATTAACAATCAATTTCGAAGGATTGGAAGGCACCAAGTGCTTCTTCTAAAATCAGCTACAATGAATTACTGATTAAAAAGAAAGAGAAAAGGCCAAGCGGTGAAAAAAAGCGATGTAGTCCATATGTTGTCGTACGTCATATGTACTGTGAAATTCCTTTCTTTTGATCGTTAGATTATTTTTTAAGAAGAACATTATCTAGATATTTATGCAAAATAAGAATATGCTATGTTTGTACGAAAGAGGCGACACCTGTGTATCAGTGTTATCAAAATGTATTGTAATTTTCCTGTTATTCAAAAAGCACACTTAGTAGAAAACATAAAAATTTTACACCCAATTTGATTCACACAAGTCTAAAATAGAAGGAAAGACCAATTTTGAAATATGTTTGCTCCGATAAAATAACACTGAAACTGAATAATGTATAATATGAGGAATGAACTCTTGTACTACAAGACGTAATCCAAGCGTGCTATTTCATAACAGATCCCGCCAAAATGGAAAATCAAATCTTGCTTTTATCAACAGCACAGTTAATTGAAAGCGTCGTGATAAACTGGTTAAGATAAAGCAACCGCCTTCGATACGAAGGGAACCTATTGTGCGACACAATATTAATTGCCCGTTGTTACTTGTTATTACATTAATATTTTGGTTGTTTTTTCCAAGTGTTGAGGAAGCGTTTTCGCGAGATCAAAGATTTTTCTAAGAGCTTTTCTGTCGAGATGAGGACTACTTAACCCGCGAAAAGAATTATTACAGAAAATTAACCAGAAAGAAAATCAGTGTTGAGTTTTTCAATCGAGTTTTCAAAACCATATCAATATATGCAAGGTAACTTTTGTATATTATTCCACCTAAAATGATAATGCAATTAACTTTGGAGACAAACAACTTGAAAACAAGACAATGTTCTTGGAATATGATTTAATGACATATGCACTTTGTATCTAACGCCCACATTTCAACAAGATGACTGATCTCTCTCAACTATAACCTATAATAGAGCAACTAATTCAATCGTCAAATAAAGTACTGCCTTAGAAGAAACATCGTATTAAACACAAATATTCAATCAGTTATTGTAGGTTTCTGATTGTTCTATAGCCAAGATATGCCGCATGTCCTCGTACTATTTCTTTTTCGGGTTCTGTTAGATTAATGAGCATATTAATTGGTCGCTTTTTGATCTTTCATGGTTTTGTATTCTAAAAATAACGATGAGAATCTAACCCTTGGCATTCTGTAGTCTCAAGAAGTTCAATGAAATATATTTTCTCAAAAGTAAGAACTGACGATCTACGTCTGGTATGTGACATTTATATTTTTGGTTCCAAAGTTTGATAGTTTCAAAACAATAGAAACTTTGACATTTATGTTATTGTGATGGATTTTTCCAACAAATTAAACTAATTTATGAATATTTTAAGTAGAATTCATTTTCAAAAATTCGAAATTTATTCTTTCATTCTAACAATATTTTTCCCACATTTTCCAATTTGACTACATTTATATTTAACTGTACAGGGATCTTGAATGTTTTCAGGTTCAGTCTTTAATCTTTTTCTTTGTTGCACACTTGCTTCGGTCTAGGAACAGATTAACGTGTATATAATAAGGTAAGTAACTGAAATAATTATAATGATATTTCATTGAAAACTTATTTATTGTTTTACTGTCCAGAGTGTTATTAATTGTAACACTGAATACAGTATTATTTTATGTTTGACCAACAGTCGTGTTTTTCGTTTCCACAAAACCTCACAAGGTGTTGGGACCAATATCCCTGATTGTTGCCACCAAGTTAATTACCCCCACAATCTCACAAAACAAATATATTGTAGTTCAGTGGTACTATTGTAAATATTGTTATTTATTCCGTGACACGTGTGTCTAATTGAGCTTAATTTTGCTTTAGTTTACCATATCACATTCACTACAACTCAACATGGCTGATCTTTCACCCCTTGTTCCAAAAACAATCAATTTAATCAAACAGTACAATATCGGGAGGTAAGACTTTTCATTGTTTGAAACTTAAAATTTTTCCCCAAGTTTTTGACATATCACGTCTTTAAATTTCCAACACCTGAGGTTGGAAGCCTTTGGCGAGCAAATCGGCGAAAGCTGTTAAACTGCTTCGTGCCAAAATATGTTTTTCTTGATCTAGATTTAATTAAAGTTTGATAAGGGTCGTATTCAAAAGGACGGCAATAATATTCGTCTCTGTGTTCGTTACAATCGTTAGAGATGGACTTTGTTTGTTTGGACGACCATCATGATTTCAAAAATCTGTCAAAGAAACATCAAAAGAGTTCAGAAGGAACCTGTTTTCAAAGACAACCTCGGCCGTATTTTTTGGTTATGAAAGAGGCAAGTTTAAGGATGACTGATACTGAATTTTCGCATTCAATATATATATATATATATATATATATATATATATATATATATATATATATATATATATATATATATATATATATATATATATATATATATATATATATAAAGAGATTTATATTAATGACAATTTTAGAAATTGGAAAGAAAATGTCCAAAACTTTCTCAAAAAGATAAAAAAGAATTTGAATATTTAAATACTGCTTTGCTACTTTATTCATTATTTCATACCAAAAGCATCAAATAAAAATATCTTAGGAGCTTCGGAATTGAAATAAATTTATAAAATATTATAATCAAGTGTAGTCAAAACTTTTGCCAAGGTGATTTATATATGGTTTACTTCAAAATATTTTAAGCAAAAGAAGTAAAATTTATGTTTAAAATAAGTCTGTGGCCATGTATTTTGATTTAACGTACATTGAATTTCGTTAGTTGAATAAAGTTTATGAGAATTAGATTGGTCTCTCTAAAAGAAGTTTCCACTTATCAGAAATTTACTTAAACTTTCAATTCAGAATATCATATTGAAGTGCATGAGGTGTCTGTACAAAATTATTTTATAACTTAATGAATAAAACCAGTATCTAATAAATTGAAGTTTGATCATGTAATTTCTCAATCTAAAATTTTTGCCAGTTTACTCTAGAAAGAAATGATAAAGAACATGAAGGTGAATTACAGATGATTAATTCTAATACTTTTGATGATGTAACAGAAAGTGTCAATTACATTGTGGTTTGTAATATCAGCAGTTATGCAATGTTCACATGTATATTGTAATTCATCCCGCTATGTTTTTATAATCATGAGGATGCTACAAATCTAAGTAGCCATATAGAAATATATATGTGTTCCGTGCATTGAAGAAATAATTGTAGAACACATCACTCAATAGAATGTAAAATCAATTTTACTGTAAACTCCGTGCAGATAATTACATTGGGTACATCTACAGAAAAGCAACATTCCTATAAAAAATGATTATTACATTTAGCTTACATCTTATAATAAATAAATTTACTCTTTTTTTAATAAAATGACTCCATAAGGAGCAAAAGTTAAACTTTTTAAACAAATTTAAATTTTGAAGATAAAAAATTTCTTTTTTACTATAGTAATTGTTTATAGATGAAGAATACAATCTTGTACAATTATAGGAGTGAGATTTATAATTTTATGTCTTATTACAAATTTTGATTTTACTTAGTGGTGGTAAATATACAATCAACACTAGTAAGCTACCTATAAATGTTAATTGTATATATCTCCACTTAAAGTTAATTCAATTTACAACAATGATACATGTACAAATAGATTATAAGGCATTCTGAAACATAGGTTTTTGATTAAAGTATCCTTTTCTCTTTTAGAACACAATAAAAAAGAAAGATATAACAGAAAGATGATTCATGACAATACAGCACTGTGAATATTATTCCGAGACTAAAATACAACTATTATAGACTGCCTTTCTTACATTATTGTTTTAATACAATATTGATAAGGTTATTGTGATCTTCTAAAACTTTTAAGCTTAACCAAATTGTATGCATGGTGTCGAAAATGTGCTAGCTTCCGTAAGCAATTCCAGAATAAATTTTTACGGATTTTAATAATAAATGATTTTGATCTGACATTCATCTAAATGATTTCCGTTGCGCAAACTAATATTTTGATTTGGTTTTGAATGCCCGATTCTCCAGTTCAGAACAAATCTTGAGTGTTCTCAAATTTGTCTTCTCAGTTCGGATTTCAACACAGTTGGCTTATGGAATTATTC